CCGTGACCCCCAGGGATGGTGTCTTATACCCACAACCCACCAGCTCCCTAGCCCTGGCCTATCACCAGACACAGTTGGCACCTTGAGAACTCAGGGCACTGCCCTTACCCAGGAGACGTTCCACCTGGGTCACCTCTGGCTCAGGGCAGGGCTCTGAGTCCCATCCAACCCCACAATCCCCTGAGGCAGGACCTCACTGTCCCTACTGAGGAAACTGAGGCTCAGACAGACATGTGACTGGTCTGAGGTACCACATCTGGCAGCAGCAGGACCCAGCTCTTGAACTGGGTAGCTTCCCTTCATGTAGCCAAGGAAGCTCCCAGCCCACAGTGTGGGCCCCCTGTGCCCGGAAGATCCAAGTGGACTTTGTCTACACAGACAGGCCCACACTGCCAAAGCCCTGGCATGTTCCGAAGTACCAAATGTTTCAAAGAACCTTCTGGTCCACTTGTTCTCCTCCCATGATGGGGAGTTCACTACCTCCCCAGCAGTTCCATCTGTAACAGAGCCCTCCCTTAGCTTGAGGGGGAGGTCTTCCCTGCTTCTCATCCCGCCCCCCTCCCCGCCCCCCACCCCCGCCTTCTAGAACCGGAGGTGGAGGGCTGCTTTCAGCACAGGGCAGCTGGAACATTCAAACACCCTGACCTCCACCCAGCCCGGCTGGGCAATTTCCCAGTGCTCAGCCACAGGCCTGGATGTCTTGGGGTCGCAACTCTCGCTCGCCCTCAGCCAGGAAGACAAGGAGGGCGCGATGCAACAGATGCACTCCCAAGCGGCGGCGGCGGCTGGGTGACCAGCTCGCCACCACTCCATAGCAGTGTCCTTGTTTCTGGTTGGTCAGTGTCCGGATCCCTGGAGAGATTGGGAGTGAGGTCACAGGGGTAGCCTTAGTGAATTCCAGGTAGAGAAATGTGACAGTGAACCCACTGTGTATTCCCCTTAAGCAGGTATAAACCCATGGAGCAAAATATGTGCATATGCAGGTACATCACTGGTGCTCAATAATTGCTCATTGAACAAATTAACAGCCCTGAGAGGGCAGGGGTGAGGGAATTGGTAGAGCAAGTGCCCTTCCTGTGAACCTTCCCCCCACAAGCCAGGCACCCACCTAGAGCCTCCACAAGACACGCCTCTCGAGTGTAAGCCTCCACAGCGACCACATGCTGGAAGCAATGCAGGGACACGACTCCACGACCACTAGCCCAAATGTCCAAGATCTGGCGCACTTTGGGGCAGGCCTAGGGGGCCGGGGCAAGGTCAGGGGTCTGCCTCCCAATTCCCTCCTTCCTCTACCTGCCCACGGCCCGGCTGTCCCTGCCCTGACCCTGGTACTTGTCCTCATACCTGCTTTCCTGACCTCCCACGGTAGCCAAGGGCCTCCCAGAGGTGAACATAGGGCCGGGCCCGGGTTCCCTTGCCCACATAGAAGATGGCGTGGACGAAAGTCCGAAGGCATTCAGCTGGAGTTAGCGCGGAGGCTCGTGCTGGCAGGTTCCGAGTCTCCCTGGATGAAAAGGCTTGGCTCAAAGAGGAAAAAGTGACAAGAGTAGCCCTAGAGAAACTCTCTAAGGTCACAGGGTATATGCAACCCACATCCAGTGACCCACAGTTTATAAGGCAGCGCCCAAAGTCGTCAGCGGCTTGAATTAGTTCCAACTGCCTTTTCTAGATGAAGCTTAGGACCAGAGAGAGGGGCCAGTTCCCCTCTGAGGACGTGCAGTATGTAGGAACCAACCCCAGAACGCCCAGCTCCCACTTCGGAGTACCTGGGGTCCAGCAGCAGATACGTGAAACTGGACTTCACCACCCCCTCCCGCCACCTTCTGCTGGGATCCGGCTGCTCAAATTGCTGGACAAGTGCATCCTCATCTGCCCGGGCGTCTGGGATTCGGCCTGTCCTCAGGGCCTCAGTCAGCTCCGGGCTGTGCCCTGAAAAGTCTGGGCCTGGGAGGGGAAACTGAGTCAAGAGAGCCGGAGGAAGGGGTGGTTCCCAGAGGTGAAGAGAGAAGTGGCACGGAGAGCCAGGAGTCTCCGGGTGCCCGGAAGGGACTAACCAGGAGCAGCCTGGGCTTCTGCGAGTCGTCGGAGGTAACGTGGCCGGGTGAAGGGCGTGACGGGGCCTGGGCTCTCGCCCAGAGCCCGGAGCCTCTGCAGCAGTTCCAGGTCAGACATGACTGGCAGACACCCGCCAGAGGGCACTGGGTCCCTGCCCCCTGTGGGATGCACCTCGTCCTCCGTCAGCCAGAGGGCGCCCCCCTCACTGTCCAGGGACGATCGGTCATCTGTGAGGAAGTGGAAGCCGAGGGGTCCAGGCAGCGGCTGCGGAGGGGGGCTGTGGGCTGGGCTCCTCTCTGGGAGGGACGTGTGGGAGGGCGAGGTCAGAGTCAGGGCCTGGAGGAGGGCTTTTAATTCGGCCTCCTTGTCCGTCATGATGGCTCCATGTTCTGGCTGTAGGGTGTCCGGAGACTTTGGCCTCCTCTGGGATGGTCGGAGATGAGGCAGGAGTTGCTGCCTGGACAATGGCCCAGCCCGGGGGCATGTATGCGGGGCTGGGTCCTGGGATCCAGAAGCCTCCACTGCTGTGACAAAGGAGGCATCTGAGCTGCAGTCCCAGCACCCAGGGGAGGACTCCAAGCCACCATCCTTGTCAACTTCAGGGCAGGCGAGGAGGCTGGAGGGTCCAGGGCTAGCCTCCAGGCCCCTGTCCCTGCTGTCCCTGCTGCCCAGGCCTGTGGAGTCCAGCATCACACTGGGAGGTCCAGAGGGGCTGGCATCCAGCCCCTTTCCCTTGAGGGCTGAGCCTGCAGCAGAGGATGAGAGTTGGGGTCAGAGAGCAGGTGTTAGGGGGGTGGGGGGGAGCCAGAGATGGGAGTTGGATCAGCAACAGGTGGCTGGAGTCAAAGGGAAAAGAGAATGAGTGAAGGCAGCGAGAGCTGACCAGAGACACTGGACGTGAGACAGTCAGGACCAGCGGGAGACGGTGGAAATCAGAGACACGATCAGCTGGTCCCTAGGCCAAGCCGCTGTCTCCGCACAGGCCTCACTCACCGCTGGGCTCAGGCTCCGGCTCCTGGGTCTCTAACCGGGTCCGGGCAGGGGTCCTAGTCAGCTTTGGGAGCTCCCTGAGGACGCGCACACAGTCCTGGTGCCCCTGCTGTTCTGCCAGGTCCAGTGGCCGGAGTCCATCCTGCCGGGGCGCGATCACCAGGGGGCACCCAAGCCCTCTTTCCCCGCTTCCTCCCGCTCTCCAGGTCGGCCCCTCCGCTCCGCCAGCGCCCCTCACCTGGTCGAGCAGCCGGGGGTCGGCTCCCTGGCTCAGCAGCAGCTCCAGGCTGCGGCTACAGCCCCAGGCGGCGGCCACGTGCAGCGGTGTCAGCGCCTCGGCCGATCTGGGGCAGGAGCCGAGGCGTGTCCTCGGACTCTGTCCCCCATCTCCACCCTCCAGCCCGAGACACCCTCGGAACCTAGGTCCTACGCCCTCGGCCTGGGACTCCAATCTCTGCTCTCTGACCCTAGAGATTCCACCCCTGGACCCGAAACTTGGATCCCCATTTTGGCCCGAGCCCAACCCTATCCCTCACCCTCATTCTGGGACCCTCGCCCTCGCCCTTGGGCTCTCAGGATCCCTCCCCTAGTTCCACAAGCTCCTCCCTGGGGTGCCGAATCCCCACCCTTGGAAAGTGGGATGCACTCTCCGGGACCCCGAGGCCACGCCTTCCGGCTGGGGAGACCCCGCCTTCTACTGGGGAGCCCCCTTCCCTACGCCGAAGGCCCGGCTCAGAGCCCAGACCCGCCTCACCGCACGTTGGGGTTCCCGCCTCGACACAGCAGAGCCTTGAGGCAGCGCAGAGCGCGTGGGTGCCGGGCTCCCGCCGCCAGGTGGACAGCTGCCGCGCCGTCCGCTAGCACCAGGTTGGGGTCCGCGCCGCGGCGCAGCAGCTCCTCCACAGCCCTGCGATCAGGGGGTCAGAGTGGACCGCCACCCTCGCCCCCTGCCCCTGTCCGCCCGCCCCGGTCCCGTCCTCACTGCGGCTCCTCCTCCTGCAGCGCTGCCCGCAGCCGCCAAGCCAGCTCCGCCGCGGCGCCCATGCCCGCGCTGTCCCCAGCCCGCGGCCCAGCCTGACAGTTTCAAACTTCCCGCGGTGACCTTGTGCGCACGCGCAGCGCCGCGCCGCCCAGCCCCGGGCTCTGGTCTCAGCACCCGGGGGCCCCGGAGGGTACCCAGCCAGGCCGCCCGTGCTGCACCTGCCCGGCACACTTTGGGATTCGAGCTTCAGTGCCCACTCAGGTCCGCGACCTCGAGCGGTGCTCGGGTAGAGCCTGGGCGGGTGGAGGCCGCCGCGTGTGCCATTTTCTGGCCTCAAAACGCGGACACATCCTGCTGAAGGGGGCGGAGCTACGACCCGGTGACTTGGAGGTGCCCACGGCCGGCCGAAGAGGCCTCCATTAGCGCGCAAATTTAATTATCAGCTCCCGCCTCTAGCTCTGCGTCGCCTGTTTGCAGTCTCGGGGAGCCAGAAGGTCGTGCCTTTGGGGCTCGGGGCCCTGGGCCTTAGTGTTCCCATCTGCAAAATGGGAGACTCCCTTCCAGGCTGGTGTGATGTTGCGCCAGTGTTTCAGCACAGGGTCCGGGCACACGGGTGCCCAATACATGCTATGGGAAGGAAAGCTGTTGCTCAATAAGGCCATTTCAATTTTATATGGAACTGAGAACCTATCTGGTAAACTTCTCTCACTGTTGCTCATTATCCAGACAGGTAGTTGAGTAGTGGCCCTGTTGTGCCTGTCTTGTCTCCCTTTTGGGGAGCATCCACGCTATTTCCTGGGACCTGTAGTCCTCCCCTTCTCAGGAGAGGCTTGATCCAGGCCTGAACAATCTGAACATCCCAGAGCTCTGGCCCATGACCCAGGCAAGGCCAGCAGGAGGGGGGTTGGGCAGTGGTCACAACTGTCAACCAATCGTCATGGTGCCAAGTCAATGCCAACAGAAATCCCCAATGTAGGGTGCAGTGAAAGAAGATACTTTATTCAGAGCAAACACCTCAAAATAGAACAACACAGCCCTCTGGCAAATTGTTTCAGCTCCAGCCAAGGAATCAGTCTTTGGTGGAAAAGGAACAAGCATTGCCCAGCCATAATGGAACTTACATAGGGAAGCCCCAGCCCCTGACCCTTAATTAGCCTGTTCTCATGCAAATTAGTACCCCAAACCATCAGTTTGATTGGCCCAAAAAGCACTAAGGAGTGGAGCCATTCTGATTCATCAAAGATGCTAACAGAGCTAAGAACCAGGAGGTCACAGTTCAATTCTCCATCAAGGCATATGCCTGGGTTGTGGGCTCGATCCCCAGTGTGGGGCATGCAGGAGGCAGCCAATTAGTGATTCTCATCATTGATGTTTCTATTTCTCCCTCTCTGAAATCAATAAAAAAATATATATTTATATATTTTTTAAAGATGCTAACAGAGACTATAGTTCCTCAGCTCCGATTGGACAAAGAGGTTATCTCCATCCTGTTGGTTGAAATATGATTCCAGGAATTCCTTTATATGAATTGGCTCACCCAACAGAATACAATGCTGGCAGGCAGGCATTTCAGTGCAGAAGGCAGGTAGTTCTTCTCTCTGAAGCTGGGTTTGTGTGAGAGGCAAAGGTTCCTGGGCTTCTTCTGTTTTTTAACATGAGACCAATTAGCCCCCAGGAGCCCCTTTTGGTAGGTATTTTTCCGCCCCCCGGCAATGTCTGAACAGCTGGATGTAGGCAAGCCTGAAGCTGCACCTCGGCTTATACGCCAGAACCAAGCAATTCCCCTTGCTGTTCATTGGGTGGGTTTTCTGTCACCTTCAACCAAGATCCTAATTAACACAAGGCGACTGGTGTGGACCTCAGTTAGAGATTTCTCAGGTTTTATTTTGGTGACAAAAATCACACAGGGAAGAACACATTACAATTGGCAAACTGGGGACTGAAATATGGACTGGGAATCGTGGGTGTCCACAGTCCTGGGTTGCTTCCTGGAATAACGGGTTTCCTTCCAGGGCTCTGAAGTAACCAAGTGCTTCCTTGAAGTCCCCCAGGGGTCCCAGAACCAGCACTCTAGGCAAAGGGTTTCATGGTACCAGGTTGGACGCACAGGGAAGGTTCAGACAGTGGCCTCAACCTCAGTGGCTTCCTCCTCCTCCTCCAGCAGGCTGTAGGAGGCATGGCTCTGGCAGGGCCGTTGCAACGGGTGAGCCAGCAGCTTAGCCATACAGTTGTGCAGCTCCAGGGCTGGCCCGGCCAGTGCCACCTCATACTTGTAGCTGGTGCCCTTGGTATCCAGGCTGCCCATGAAGGCAAACATGTCCTGTGGGGCCAGGGAGGGGCTCTTCAAGCAAGGGCTCCCTGCCAGGCCTTCCTTGCCCTGGGAGGGTTTCCCAGAGGAGGCACCAGGGGTAGGTTCTGAAGGGTGAAGAGTCTTCCAGGCAGAAAACATTCCTGCCTTCAGCAAACACTCCCTGCTCCCCGCCCCGTGTTAGGGACACCAACAGGTCTCAGCCTTGGAGCCTCCAGACTGGAGTCAGTTGGAGGCTCCAAGGGGGGCTAGTGAACTACCCCCCCACCCCCGTCCCCATGCTGATCTTCCTTGAGGGGCAGGGAAGGCTTCCCTCAGTAGACACTTTTGGTTTAAATATTGAGGTATGAGTAGGAGCTGGCCTCAACCCACCCTGTTCAGCTGGGTAAACTGAGGCTCAGAGAGGTAAGTGGACTACTTAAAGCCCCACAGCTAGTTCAGGGCTGGGAGGTGAATGACCAGCAGAGTCTGGGTAGGCAGGGAGGGAAGGGTGCTCCAAGAAGAGGGCACAGCCAAGGCAAAAGCAGGGAGAGAGAAGCTGGCCCCTGTCCCAACAGGCCCCCTGAGCTCCCAGCAGACCACGTGGAAATGGTTGTCAAATGACCGAATGACCAGGAGCCAGAAGTTGGGATCCCTGAGACCCAGGGTAGATGGGTTCTAAGACGTCCCATCTACACCCACCTGCCGCCCACACCTGCCACGGCCTCACCTTCCAGCTCATCTCCTCCTCCTTCTCGTCGGTGCCATTGTGGATGTAAACAACATCAAAGAAGAAATATGGGCACTGGAACATTTTCTGCAGGTGAAGAACGCCAGCCTTTGAGACTCAGTCACCCTGCGCCCCATGACAATTCCCCAGCGTCTGCCTCAGACTCTGGGAGCCTGCCAGCAGGTGCCCCAGTCCTGTGTTCAGGAAATCCCTCCTAGTGTCTCACCACCCTCTCCCAGGCCTCAGTCACCTTCATGGGCTCAGTCAGGGAGAACTGGGGCTGGCAGGGTGGACGGCTGTAGACAAGGATGGTACGGACCACATATGGGGGTGGGATCGTCTGCACATTCTCCGTGACTGGCAGCTCCGTCTTCTGTTGACTGCACAGTAAGGGGACAGATGAGAACAACTCTGGGGGTCCCTCCCTTTATCACCTTTGGAGAGCCAGCTCCTTGCTGGGCATGCAGAGGCCCCCCTGTCCCCTCCCCAGTTTACTGCTGTCTTTAAGCCTTCCCACATGCAGTTCTCTCTGCCCAGAGCACCTCCCCAGCCTTACCCTCTGCCTGACCTCTTCTGTTTTGCTAAACCCAAAGCTGAGGCCTGCTCCGCCCACCCTGAGTGTCCCCTATCATATGGAGTTGGCCCTGCCCCACCAGGCCAGGAACTCTTAGGAAGGGACTTAATTTTTTATCTAAATCAAGACACATTTCCCTACTTGGCCACAACTGGATCTCATGAGCAGATGGCACTAGGCAGAGGGCAAGGTCCTTCCTATGTAAAAAGCAAATCTGGTCCTTCACAGGAAAAAAGCCAACTTCCTCATAGAAAAACCGGTAAAGGGGACAAATAGACAAATCACTACAGGAATGCCAAACGGCTTTAAAATGAATGAAAAAAAGGCTCAAAGAAAAGCACTATCACACAAGCAGAGCCTTCAGCAGCATGATCAGTCCTGGTGCCAGGGGAAATAAATGGTTAATTTCTGAGGCAGTACTTTGGCAATGTCTAGCAAAATAATCCCCCCTTAATCAAGTATGTCCTCTACTGTGAATTTACCTCATGGGTTCACTTGCAAAATTTGCTGAGATGTTTGTACCAAGTTAATTAAAGGCAACACAAGCTCTGTGCCCAGCATCAGGGGTTGGTGAAACTGGAGATTAGAATAGTAGGGCCCACAAACTAAGAATGGGTTTATATTTTTAAATACCTGGAGGGGGGAAAATCAAATTAATATTTCATGACATGTGGAAATGACATGAAATTCAGTGCTTATCAATAAAATCTTATTGACACACTAGAGGCCGTGCACCGGTGGGGTCCCTTGACCTGGCCTGTGGGGATCAGGCCGAAACCGGCTCTCCGACATCCCCCAACAGGTTCCGGATTGCGAGGGCGGGTCTCGGATGACACATCCCAGAACTGGGCTGCTTCCTCTCTGGTTCAGGGTGCATCACCCGAGAACCACAGCTGCCAAGTCACGCAGCTCAGCAGCTCCTGCGTTAAGAGTCTGCCCCCTGGTGGTCAGTGTGCATTATAGCTACTGGCCTGTCCACCAGTTGCTTAGGCTTTTATATAGAGAGATGGCCACGCCCACTGTGTCCATAGAGTTTGTGGTTGCCTTTGGATTCCTAAGGCAGAGTCAGTTGTTATGATCTGCAAAGCCAAACACATTTACTATCTGGCTTTTTATAGGAAGAGCATGCAGCCTCCTGGGCTAAAACAATGGTGTGGAGGGCCATGGGCCACCATAGGACTAATACAGAGGGTGAGATACGGGGAAGGAAGGACTTACATGAGGCTGAAGAGACCTTCCATATCTGGTGGGATGCTAAGAACACAGGCGGCAGAGCACAGGTGGGAAGGGTGCATGACTTCCCTCATCCTGATGCCAAAGGACCCCAGGTGCCTCAGAATCTGGGGCCAGGTCCCTCTGTGCAGGAAACCTGTGTGTGATCGCAGCCCCATGGCCTGAGCCTGTTTCCCTCAGCAGAGATCACAGACGAGGGGGCTGACATCGGATGCCCGAAGACCATTGGTGATTCAAAATTCCCCTTTCTCTCAGGCCAGGGCCACACTCCTTACGAAGAGCTACGGGTGTTCCTGTTCCCTTCCTCCCAACTCTCACACGTTTTCTAACTCACAGGGATGATATTTTATCTAAGTTTTGAGCTGCATGTGAGCCTTTCATGTTCAAATTAGCATAAAATGTGATGTAGTGCCCTAGCTGGTTTGGCTTAGTGGACAGAGTGACGGCCTACAGACTGAAGGTCCCGGGTTCGGTTCCAGTCAAGGCACATGCCCAGGTTGCAGGCTCAATCCCCAGTAGGGGGCATGCAGGAGGCAGCCAATCAATGATTCTCTCTCATCATTGATGTTTCTACCTCTCTCCCTTTCCCTTCCTCTCTGAAATCAATAAAAACATGTATTTTTTAAAAAATGTGATATAGTGGTGACTGTGACTTTTCAGTCACATATTGGCATTTTTTGAGCAAATGGCACCAAATGTATCATTGGCCCTGCATGGAGTGCTCCCCCTGTGGGCACAGTTTTGACATCCAGAGTCCAAATCAGCTGCTTTTGCTTCTGTGTTACGACTTTACCTCAACAGGGACCCATGGGGTAAGAGGTAGCCTGCCTCCCATTTTACAGATGAAGAAACTGAGAGCCTGGGGAGCTTTGAGGTTTTGCTTCCTGGCAATGTCATCAGTTTGGCTCAAATAAACTCTTTTCTTGTTAATCCTCACCCGAGGATATTTTTCCATTGATTTTAGAGAGAGTGGAAGAGAGAGGGAGACAGAGAGAAACATCAGTGTGAGAGAAACACATTGATTGGTTGCCTCCTGCACTTGCCGTGACCAGGGCCCCGCCGGGGAGGAGCCTGCAACCAAGGTACTCGCCCTTGACTGGAATCAAACCCAGGACCCCTTGGTCTACAGGCTGATGCTCTATCCACTGAGCCAAACTGGCTAGGGCTCTCTTTCTTTTTAAAAACCTCACCCAAGAAGTGAGGATATTTTTGATTTTAGAGAGTGGAAGGGAGGGGGGATGAGGAGGGGGGTGGGTGGGGAGAAAAACATTGACGTGCCACAGACACATCGATTGGTTGCTTCCCATGTGTGCCCTGACCAGGGGTGGGGATCGGAACTGCAACCCAGGTACATGCTCTTGACTGGAATCTAACCCACAACCCTCTAGTGTGCAGGCCGACACTCTAACCACTGAGCACACTGGGCAAGGCTCGAAAGAAACTGAAAGCCAGAGAGGTGACTGGCCCAAGCCTGCTGCAGCAGAGCTGAGATCTGGACCTGATCCAATGTAAGCTGGCTCCCTCCAAGCTCAGGCTTCCTGGGTTCTGGGTACAAGACAGGCCAGCCTCCCACGCCGCCCCCTGCCCCCTGAGGTGCCTCTGCCTGGAAGGATACTGAAGTTGGAGCAGGAGGCCGTCTCTAGGTCGTAGAGGCAGCTGCAGAGCTCACGGGGGTCGGAGGTCAGTCCAGACAGCTGTGGGGAAACACAGTCCTCAGCAAAGTGCTCTCTGCCCCCAGGCAGTCCCAGAGCACCCAGCCTCATCCCTACCCCCAGGGGACCCCAGGGTGCCCCAGCCTCACCCAGGCGGTGTCATCGTTCACCACCACCAGTGCAAACTCATGGCTTTTGTCAATCTTGTGTTTTGTCCGCACAAACATCTCAATCATCTTCTGGGAGACATTGAGAGCGTTGGTTTTGGAGCTGGAGAGGGACAGAGAACGAGGGGGGTGTTAAGGAGAGCCAGGCCTGGGGGCGAGGCATATCCCCTCACCTGTGCATCCTGGGGAACCTTCCACCAGCCCTACAAGGAGGCCCTGGCCCACGTCACAGTGTGTGGGGGGGGACATGCTTGTCTTCAGTATCTCCCAGAGCGTCTCAGACCCTCTCCAGGCTCAACCCCACAGAGCCCTGCCTGCTCAGGGCAAGGGCTTTGGGGTCAGCTAAGCATGAGTCTGAATTCTTGCTCCACCTACTTGCTATGGTCTTAGGCAAGTTACTTTGCTTCTCTGAGTTTCCAAGTCACTGCTATGACATTGATTTTAGAGAGTGGAAGGGAGTGGGGAGGAGGGGAGAGAGAGGAGGGAGAAAAACACTGATGTGCCACAGACACATTGACTGGTTGCTTGATACCTCTCACATGCTTGGAACAGAGCCTGAGGGGCCACCGCTGTACCATTACCAGTTACTGTCGCTATGCTCTGATACCGCCAGGCCCTGAGACAGACCGCAATGGTGTGAGTCTGAGGGAGAGAGCCCTGTGTTTTTCAGGCTGGGCCCCTCCAAGTTGTAGCTACACATTCAAGCCCTCAAATGTCCCTCTCACCCGTTGAATGACTCCAATTTTGGCAGTGACATTTCCTCCGACAGGTCCAGGCAGATGATCTGCAATGAAGGTGGAGGGTGGTGAAGGCACTGTGACTGGCCGCCCCTGGTGCCTGGATGTTAACACCAGCCCCCACAGGCCTGGCCCTCTTTAAGCAGACCCGTCTGAAAGGTGGTAAGAAGACCCCCAGTTCCCAGCCAAGCTATCCACTGTGGAAGTGGGTGGCTCAGGGGAAAGAGCGCTGGACTAGGAGTCCAGGTTAATAAGTGAGTAAGCAAACAAGAGAATACATGACACAGAAACAAGGAAATAAGGGTATAGTGGGTTGAACTGTGGCCCCCAGAAGATGTTTGCCTAGAACCTCAGATGTGACTTTACTTAGAATTAGAGACCTTGATGATGTAATTAAAATAAAGAAATTGAAAGAAGATCATCTGATCCGGTGACAAGTATTCTTATGACAGACAGGAGAGGAGACACAAAGACAGAGAGGGGAGGGCCATGGGAAAACATACAGAGATGGGAGTGATCAGCCACAGCCAAGGATGCCTGGAGCCCCCCAAAGCTGAACGAGTAAGGAAAGACCCTCCCCTAGAGCCTCCGGAGAAAATGGGGTCCCTGCCACCATCTTGATTTCAGGCTTCTGGTTTCCAGGACTGTCACGAGAATAAATTTGTTTTTTCAGCCCCCAGCTCACTATAATTTGTTGCGGCAGCCCCAGGAAACTAATACAAAAGGGCTGTTTGCAGAGTAAATCCCAAAAGGCGAGAATGTCAGCCCAAGGTTCCCCAAAGCCTCAGAGCTTACGGCCAAATTCCCACTTACCACCTTCTCTGGACAGTTGACCCTTGGTGTCCGCACCTGGACCTCAGGGGCTGGTGGGGGCACCTGCCAGGGCTTGGGGCCAGCTCCCAGAGCGTTCGAGGTCCCATCATCCGCACTGGCCGCCTCGCCCTCACCCTCACTTCGGCTTCCCACACTGGTCTGGGCCCCCAGTGCCCGGTCCTCAGCCCCCTCAGGGTTGGAGCGTGTACGGGGCCTTGGCTCCACTGACTGCTCTTCCTCCTCCTCCTCCTCTTCTTCCTCGGTGGGGCTGCTGGGCTCTGCCATCTCCATGGCTCCTGAGTGGCTGGATGAAGCAGGGATGGGGGAAGCCAGAATTCTGCCCTTAGGAATTTCAGAAACATGTGGTTACCCAGAAGGATAGGGCACTTGCTGCTTACCGACGATGAGTCACTTCTCTCAGGGCCTCAGTTTCCTCATCTGTAGAATGGGTGCCTTTACACTTATCAGCCAAGCATCCACTCTAACTTAAGGTAACAGCCTCCATGCTCACTTCTATAGTGAAAACAACTACAAAGCCAGTGAACACAACGGGCTACTGTGAATGGCTCAGGAATGGGGACATGGCCCAATACAGGCCAGCGAGGGGCAGCTCTGAGACTTACAACGCTGCCATTAGGGGAGAGGGGCTCCTTGGAGTTGCAGAGCTTGGGAGCTACAAGGAGAGAGTTGCTAGGAGCCTCGTTAGCCTCCAAGAGAGGAAAGAGCCGGCCGGAGTGATGCTCACCCAGAGAACAGCGGGCAGAGTTCTGAGCACCTGGAGCCAGTCTATACGCCACTAATTCCCCTTTCTTGCTTCAGATAGATTGAGTTGGGTTTTCTGTAACCTGCAACTGAAAATGTCTTGGTAAATAAAGGAATCATAACCTCTGGGATTCTCCCCCGTGGACGCTGGGCTGCCGAGGGGGTGTCTGTACATGGGGGTGTCTGCAGAAGCGAGGGGCGGGGATCTGGGTGCCACAGGTCCCTTTGAGGAAAGACAGGACGCCAGTGGGACAGCCTGCCTGTCTGGGCAATGGGCGCGGGCTGCCCGGGATGGTCTCCGAGCGCCCCGCAGCCCCGCAACCTCCAAGGAACTAGCTGTACAAGAGGGGTGGAGGCTAGGCTGCGGGAGAAACCAGAGCTGGGAACGGAAGCTTCCAAGGAGGCAGGGGGCTAGGTCCCGAGGGCGACGGGAGCGACGCCTCGAGGGACGAGCCCCACACGCTTTCAACACCCGCCTCTGCTCACCGTAGCCTCAGCCTCCCTCCGACTGGGCTGCCGACTCGCTAGGAAGCCGCCATCTTCGCAGCCGGACGTGGTGCGGCGCGGCCGCGGCGCCTCCTGGGAAATGTAGTCCGGCGGCCCGCGGGGCGCGTGGAACGGTGACCTGGCCCAGGCTGAAGAGTCTCGGAAGCTGATAGGCTGGTGCTTCGCTAGGGGTGAGGTTTGGTAGGTGGCGAAGGGATACGTAGGGCGGGATCTTGAATCTGATTGGGTAAAAGCTAAATGAGGCGGAGTTTTTATTTCGGCGGAATCAGACTACGCTGTTCGGCCGTTCTAGGCATAGGCTGGGATGAGCCGAGGACAGTGGGCTTTCGTGGCCCAGGCTCAGCGGGATGGAGAGGGCCTAGCTGCAGTGTAAAAGGCTGCGTGGGACAGGATTGGGCGGAATTTATTTATTTATTTGGGGGGCGGGATTTAGAACAGGCGCGGCTGATGTGTGGGCGAAGGGCGGGTTTTTGCGGCCTGAGGTGGGCGTGGCGCAGGCCCAAGGCCCCTCCCAATTACTTAATGCTTATTTTATATATATTTGCAAAAATAAAAAATACTGCCCTAACGGTTTGGCTCAGTGGATGGAGCGTCAGCCTGCGGACTCAAGGGTCCCAGGTTTGATTCCGGTCAAGGGCATGTACCTTGGTTGCAGGCACATCCCCAGTAGGGTGTGTGCAGGAGGCAGCTGATCAATATTTCTCTCTCATCGGTGTTTCTAACTCTCTATCCCTCTCCCTTCCTCTCTGTAAAAAAATCAATAAAATATATTTAAAGAAAAAAATACTAAGAAGGCTGACTTGTGGTGAACACACAATACAATATAGAGATGATGTGTTATAGAATTGTACACCTGAAACCTATATAATTTTATTAACCAACGTGATTCCAATAAGTTCAATTTAAAAAAATTAAAAAATAAGCCGGAACTATTTCAAACCACCCTTCCTTTTCCGTGCACACTTCTTCCCTTATCCCCAAAACTATTTAAAATCTACTCTGACTTTTCTGCAAAGGGTTTGCCACCAGAACACAGGTGTCAGGAAAGCCATGGCTAAATGTAAGCCAACATGGGAAAGGAAAAGACTCACATCAGCATCATTATCGTTGGACACGCAGATTCTGGCAAGTCTACCACTACTGGTCATCTGATCTACAAATGTGGTGGGATGGGCAAAAGAAATACCAAACATGTGAGGAAGCTACTGAGATGGGAAAGGGCCCCTTCAAGTATGCCTGGGTCTTGGCTAAATAAACTAAAAGCTGAACCTGAGTGTGGTATCACCATTGACACCTCCCTGTGAAAATTGAGACCAGTTAGTATTATGTGACCATCATTGATGCCCCAGGACACGGAGACTTTATAAAAAACATAATTACATGCCCCAGCCGGTTTGGCTCAGTGGATAGAGCATCAGCCTGTGGATCGAAAGGTCCCGGATTTGATTCTGCTCAAGGGCCCATGCCCGGGTTGTTGCTCGATCCCCAGTAGGGGGCATGCAGGAGGCATCATTGACATTTCTTATCTTCCCTCTCCCTTCCTCTCTGAAATAAATAAAAATATATATATATATATTTTTTAATATATTTTATTGATTTTTTACAGAGAGGAAGGGAGAGAGATAAGAGAGTCAGAAACATCGATCAGCTGCCCCCTGCACATCCCCCACCGGGGACGCGCCCGCAACCCAGGCACATGCCCTTGGCCGGAATCGAACCCGGGACCCCCCAGTCCACAGGCCGACGCTCTATCCACTGAGCCGAACCGGTTTCGGCATAAAAATATGTATTTAAAAAAACATGGCCCTAACCGGTTTGGCTCAGTGGATAGAGCGTCGGCCTGCGGACTGAAGGGTCCCAGGTTCAATCCTGGTCCAGGGCATGTACCCTGGTTGCGGGCACATCCCCGGTAGGGGTTGTGCAGGAGGCAGCTGATCAATGTTTCTCTCTCATCAATCTTTCTAATGCTCTATCCCTCTCCCTCTCTGTAAAAAATCAATAAAATATATGTTAAAAATAAATAAATAAATAAATAAATAAATAAATAAATAAATAAATAAATAAATAAAACATGATTACAGGCACATCTCAGGCTGACTATGCTGTTCTGATTATTGCTGCTGGTGTTAGTGAATTTTAAGCTGATAACTCCACGAATGGGCAAACCTGTGAGCATGCCCTTCTGGCTTACACATTGGATGTGAAACAAGTAATTGTTGGTGTTAACAAAATGGATTCCACTGAGCCATCCTACAGCCAGAAGAGATACAAGGAAATAGCAAATGAAGTGAGCACCTACATTAAGAAAATTAGCTACAACCCTGAACCTGTAGCCGTGGTACCAATTTCTGGTTGGAATGGTGACAACATGCTGGAGCCAGGTACTGACATGCCTTGGTTCAAGGGCTGGAAAGTCACCGGTAAAGATGGCAACACCAGGGGAATCGTGCTTGAAGCTGCATTGCATCTTGCCACCAACTCATCTAACGGACAAGCCCTTGTGCCTGCCCCTCCAGGATGGCTCCAAAATCCGTAATGCCGGTGCTGTCCCTGTGGGCTGAGCAGAGGCTAGCATTCTCCAGCCTGGCCTGGTGGTCACCTTTGCTCCAGTCAGTGTTACAACGGAAGTAAATTAAAGTGTTGAAATGAACCATGAAGTATTGAGTGAAACTCTTCCTGAGGACAACGTGGACTTCATTGTCAAGAATGTATCTGTGTTGCCAGACCGGTTTGGCTCAGTGGATAGAGCATCAGCCTGCGGACTGAAGGGTCCCAGGTTTGATTCCGGTCAAGGGCATGTACCTTGGTTGCGAGATGTGCAGGAGGCGGCTGGTCGATGTTTCTCTCTCATCGATGTTTCTGACTCTCTGTCCCTCTCCCTTCCTCTCTGTAAAAAATCAATAAAATTTTTTTTTTTTTTTAAAAAAAAAGAATGTATCTGTGCCCTGGCTGGTTTGGCTCGGTGGATAGAGCGTCCGCCTGCAAAAGGTCACATGCCTGGGTTGAGGGCTCGATCCCCAGTAGGGGGCGTGCAGGAGGCAGCTGATCAATGATTCTCCCTCATCATTGATATTTCTCTCTCTCTCCCTTTCCCTTCCTCTCTGAAATCAATAAAGAAATATATTTAAAACATAAAAGAGAAACTAACTGTATTAAAGGTTACCAAAATTAAAAAAAAAAAAAAAAGAGCGAGGATGTCAATTTCCCCGGGTACCCAAGTCAGAGAAGTACAATTGCTCTCTCTCCATAAGCAGGAAGATCCAACCTCCTAGCATCTGTCAGTGGGACTGGGAGGATTCAGGCTACTCCAGTCTCTGTACATTTAATCCAACTGCGGAAGGAAGGACAGGGTGTTTCAGGCCGAGGTTACAGCATGGCCAAAGGCCTGGGGGTTTGAGAGAGCGGAGAACCTTCCGCTGTTTGTGGAGGGGGCCATCATGGTTATAGCATGGAGCCTACATGGGTGCAAGCAGCACGTGCAATTTTTAAAAAATATTTTATTGATTTTTTACAGAGAGGAAGGGAGAGGGATAGAGAGCCAGAAATTCCCTCGACCAGAATCGAACCCAGGACCCTTGAGTCCGCAGGCCGATGTTCTATCCACTGAGCCAAACTGGTCAGGGCACACGTATAATTTTGAAGGGCTTTGAATGCCAGGTTGAAGAGTTAAGGGCATTTAAGGAGCCAAGGAGAGAGTGTGAGCAAGGGAAGTGAATAATCAGATCTCTGTCTCTGGGGCCTGGGTGGGGAAGGGAGTGGACAGGGGTGGGGGGCTGGGCTGGCCTCAAGGTGGGACAAGAGAGGCGTGGACTGTAATTATGGGTGAAGACAAGAAAGCCCATTACAGGTGGATGCAGGAAAGTGGGCAGGATGTAAAAACCATGTAGCTCTGAGGAATTGAGCATTTTGTAGGAGAAACAGCAGCTGGCAGAGGAAGCAGACATGGACTGGTGATAGAGCACAAGGAGTGCATGTTGCACCCGGCCGGTGTGGCTCAGTGGTTGAGCATTGACCTACGAACTAGGAGGCCATGGTTCCATTCCCAGTCAGGGCACATGCCCGGGTTGCAGGCTCCATCCCCAGTAGGGAGCGCGGAGGAGGCAGCTGATCAGATTCTTTTTCATCACTGATGCTGCTCTCTCTCTCCCTCTCCCTTCCTCTCTGAAATTAAAAAAAAAAAAAAAAAAGAGTGTTGTGATTCATTTCCCTGATGTTGCCTGGCCACACGCAAATTGCTTGTTAAAACTCCATGACACACATGATCTCACTCATTCATGGATAATAGAGACCATTGTAAACTTTTGAACAATAATAGATACAGAGGCAGAGCTGCCTCAAACAGATTGTCAAACTGCAGCAGGAAGGCCGGGGAGGGTTGCGGGGCAGGAGGTAGGGGGTAAGAGATCAACTAAAGGACTTGTATGCATGCATAGAAGCATAACCAGTGGACATAAGACACTGGGGGATAGGGGAGGTTAGGGGACTGTCTAGGGCGGGGGGACAAAATGGACACATATGTAATACCCTTTGTAATACTTTAAGCAATAAAAAAAAAAAAAACAACTCCATGACACAAGAAGAGAGAGAGCCAAGATATTGAAAACTTATTTGAAGAAATAACGACAGAAAACTTCCCCTACCTGGTGAAAGAAATAGACTTACAGGTCCAGGAAGCACAGAGAACCCCAAACAGAAGGAATCCAAAGAGGACCACACCAAGACACATCATAATTAAAATGCCAAGAACAAAAGACAAAGAGAATCTTAAAAGCAGCAAGAGAGTACCCATACGACTGCAGCTGATTTCTCAACAGAAACTTTGCAGGCCAGAAGGGAATGGCAAGAAATATTCAAAGTAATGAATACCAAGAACCTACAACCAAGATTACTTTACCCAGCAAAGCTATCATTCAGAATTGAAGGTCAGATAAAGAGCTTCACAGATAAGGAAAAGCTAAAGGAGTTCATCACCACCAAACCAGTATTATATGAAATGCTGAAAGGTATCCTTTAAGAAGAGGAAGAAGAAGAAAAAGATATTGAGCACTTGTCAAGTGCTGGGCAAATAAAACAGGCAAGACTGATCGCATACCTCCAGTACCCATCCTGCAATCTAGGTGTGC